CTTAAAAAATGGTTTTCTTTATGTGACCTTTAATGGAAGAGCCTTAAATCTCACTTAATGGGATAAGGAGATTTTAAAAGACATTAATTGATTTAATATTCAGGATTTATATTTATAAGGGAAATAAATTAGTTACTAGAATAATAGTTTTGAATTATAATATAGAAGATGGATTCAGAGGATAAAGGTTATTTTATTAGAATGAGAAGTAGAATATGATTGTGAAATAAACTAAGAATTTATTTGAATAAATAATACATGTATTTTAGACATGATAACTATTCTGTAATGAACTAAGGGAACCGTGGGTTATCCAAAACCTAAACACTATGGACATTAAGCCAACTGGAATACTGTAATTGAAATCAGATAAAAAAACAGGATCTGGAGGCATATAAGTCAAAAGTTGTTGATAAATGTTTTAAATGATTGAGTTATAACTAGCAATGTATTAATTTGAATTTGTTATAATAACTAAGGGAAACAGAGGAAATTTTTGATGATGTAAACTGACATATGTATGGAAAAGCTTGTTATCGGACTATGTATTACCCAACCACCATGTTGCTTCCTTAATATCTGAAGCTTTGTAAAAATGGAAAATTAATAAAACTTGTTTTAAAAAAAAAGAAACTATCAAGCTAATAACATGTGGTTGTTCATAAGTGCTCATTTGATGCACCTACTAGCCAAAGATTTCTGTCCCAGAAATAAAGAGTAATGTTTTTGAAATTGCTAAATACTTCTGTAACAATCATTTTGCAGCATCAACTCTGAAAATAACGGGTGGGACCAAGCTAATGCTCCCACAAGATGTTAGATGGAATTTTGTGGTGGACTGTTTTGAACAATATATAAAAAACTGGCCTATTCTGATGACCATTTGTGAGCAAAATCGAGAAAAATTAGATGGCACCATCACAGTCAAAATCTCAACATTGGGCTTAAGAGAAATGTTGAACATATGCTGAGCATCCTGAAACCCATTTCTGAAGCTTTAAACAAAATCCAGAAAAATAGTTGTTTTATTGCTGATGCTGTAGACATTTGGAAGGAACTGAGTGAACACTTAAAAACAACTACACACTGACAAGCAGAAATTACAAGATTTAAAAAAGTGAATGGGACAAGCACTATCTCCAGCTCATTTTCTCACAAACATTGTCAATATTGGTACCAAGGTCAAACCTTAAGTTTAAGTGCTGAAGAAGAAGAATTAGTCATGATATGGGTATCCAGCAATCATCCATCTCTAGTGCCAACTATAATGAACTTCAGAGCTAAGGGGAAACCATTCAAGAAATATATGTTTGCTGATGGGACTTTAAAGAAAGTTTCACCACTAAACTGGTGGAAGTCACTTAAGCACTTGGATTCAGAAAGTGTTGAAGTAATGATTTCACTTTTAACTGCAGTGGCCTCTTCTGCTGGCGTTGAAAGAACATTCTCTTCCTTTGGACTTGTTCACTCTAAATTGAGAAATCGTCTGGGGACTGATAAAGCAGGTACGCTTGTTTTTCTTTTCCAGATCATGAACAAACAAGAGGACGAAGATGAAAATGAGTGAGCTGCAGAAAACTGTGTTTGAAGTTTTTTTTAATGTGGACCCAGCTGATATATTCAGTTTAAGTTCTTTTGTTTGTTTTTTCGAAGATATTTTGTTTAATGCATTTCAGTTACTAAACATTGATGTTTAAGCAAATATAATAATATATAATATGATATTTTTTTAATTAAATAAAAGAATTTGAGTAGTTCTCCAACTATATATGATTTATCTATCAACCTAAAATCATTCTGATATCGCTGTTTTACTAACCTGACAGTTTATTATTCTAAACAGGGAACTTTCATTTTGTTTGCAAATAATAATATTAAAGATTCTAACTACTAGCAAGAATGAGTTCTTATATTTAAAGAGCACCTGTCATTTCAGATCCATCATGACAGCGCCTGTTAGCGGGCATCCACTCACCTGCTGCCTGCCATGTCTCTCACCTTGTTGTGTTACTGCCGCATCACCAGCTATGGATGGGACTGTCGGTTAGTCAACAGCGGGTCAGAAAAGGAGCCGCTGCGGGACAGAGATGACAGTTGCTTTTTAAAAATTATGATTTAAATTGAATTGCTTTAATCAAGCCTTTTTACTAGTGATTTAAATCATGATTTAAATCTACTTGATTTAAATCAAATCCACCCTGTTTATGACAAAGAGAGAGAAGGGTTAAAAAAATTTCTTACATTGGATTTTGTTTGTATTGAGTTTTTGTAACTTTGTTTTGCATTATTTATCTTTATTTATTTTTTGAGTTACTTTTTGCTAACTTCAGCTAGAAGATCAAAGATTGATCATTCTTAAAGCAGATTGCAGTGTTAGGAAGTATTTATTCCACTTTATAAAAAATACAGTTTATGTAATGGGCCAATTATTCAGTATCTTCAGGTGAAAGGGTGGACTTGTAATTGTAAAGTCTTCACTAAAAAAATCTGGGCTTTTCCAGAAAATCACAGAACATAGACTCTATTATGATCTCCACATTTTCAAGTAATAATTCATTCTGTATGATTCAGTTTTATAGATATAGCTCTTTGTCTCTTTTTATCCATAATTACTTTGGCCTATAATTGCCTAAAACAGAGGGATTGGGAACCCATGGTTTAGAGCATTTCCAAAGATGATTAAATGAATGTATGGAGGATAAAGCTAAAAATGGTTGGTCTTCTTGATGTCTGTTTAAATACTATCTGCTGGGAAATGAAAGGAAGCTATTGTCTTCTTGTCCAATTCAGCGAATCTTCCCTAATGTATCTGGCTGGCTATTGTAGAATATTAAACAGAATGGAGATAGCAGTTGTTATGCTTTGTTATTATTCATGTTCTTATGCTGTGTTAGGGAAAAGGATACTATTTCAAGAGTGTTTTCCAGATTGCATACAAATATGATCGCAAAAGCCTGTTCCACAGTGTTCAATTTGTGCTCCTTTCCATGCTCAGTATATCATTGTGTTCTTTCCAAGACCCCGCATAGATAGGAAAATAGGGAAATGGCAAGAAGTGCTGCTTCTCTTATTCTTCATCAAAGCCCTTAAAGGCACTAAAAAAGAAATACTTGAAGAAATAATGTTGCCATTGTCATATTAACTCTGTTGGAATTTTAGAAAAATCATACTGCATACAGCAAAGTTATCTAACTGAAACAAAGACTTTCACAACTTCCAGCTTTCAAGACAGAATTACCATTTTGCTACACAGAATGGGTTTTCCTTCTGTCAGCATGAGTTTGGTGGACAGAATTCTGTGTTCAGTATGATATATATTGATATGAATGTTATGCCTCCCAAAATGAAAATCTGAGTTTTTCAGGACAAATCAAATGCTGCCAAGTCTGCTAGTGCTGTTGTTTATGAAGCGTATCCCCAGTCTCTTTCACACCCACACATCAAACTTGGCTACTTGTTATGATGAATATTCCCCTCCCCATTATATTATTGTCTCATCTCCATGCATTTCCTGACATCCCACCACCCTCTCCCTAAATCAAATCTGAAGGTCCTCCCCATAGCATTGCTATGTGTCAGATTACCTCCTTCCTCTTCTACTTAACTCAGAAACTCCCTGCATTCTATTCGCCTGGTTCTAACACCATCCTGTTTATCATCATTGTTTCCATCAGAAACCGACTATTCCATTCTTCCATTAATTAATGAATTAATTTAACATATGTTCCCATCATTTTTCAGAAGCTGTTCCAATGTTTTCCACATACAAAATCAAGTAATGTTAATTCACAAATGCATCATCCAATTCATTGAAGATGTCCCATTAATTTGAAGCAACCAAGTGGATTCTAAAGAAAAGAATTGCCATTTAGTGTATTGACTTAATTTTCTGATCTTAGCAAAGTTATAAACTATTTAATCCATGTACCAAAAATCTGACAACAAAAAGCTTAAATACTAGTAGTATCTAAGATAATTGGCTAGATTATTGACTCAATTGATGCAAAAAAACCACCCCAATCTAGCTTCTAAAGTTTGCATTATGAGACACATGCATGCAATCTTTATATTTGCCTAAGGAATAGACAAGTGAAATTTAAAATTTGTTCCTTCTTCTGATTATTCAAATACCTGTACTGAGCATTGTAGAGATGAAACTGTGTCAATGACAAAAGTTTTAGCTTTATTTATCTCTGTAAGTATTTGTGATATAATCATCATATCATCCAAGTGTAGCTATTGAAAACAATGTGGTTCCTTTAAAGAATCAACTTTTTAATTATTATTAAATATTTTAAAAAGAATACATAAGGGAAGATAAAAGTCATGAAAAAATGAAATAAAATAGTAATGTACAAATAATACTACACAAAATAAAAAAATTACAATTTAATCCCTTTGTTTCGAGATGGAGTCAGGGTAACTGAGTAGAGCTGAGCATTTACTGTCCGGATGCCCTTCCTGATGCCTACGCAGAGTTTGCAGCAAATATTTTTTCTTTGCGCCCTGACAGAGAAACATCTGCCATTAGGGTAGGATTGAAGTCTCAACTTTCCAAGTGATAGGTGAGAATCTTCAACTCTAGATCACTGTGCCACTTATTAATAATACACTAAGTAAATAAGAAATCTAAAAATGACATAGGATTCTAGTTTTCTGATATATTACATATGAAATTATAAAAAAATTAAAAGAGAAATTTAAAATGATTAAGCTTCAAGCTACTTGTCAACACTAAAATTGTATATCCAACTAAAATTACAAGGTAACAATACTAAAAATCTAGTTATCAATGAAGTTTAAATACAGGTTCTATATGTAGAAAAACCAAAATTTTGGTGTAGGAATAACAAATCTATGTATTATATTATAATCCAAGAATGATTTTTCTGAAATTTAAAGCAATATAGTTCACTTTTCTTTCTTGGCAAACCTTCAGAAAACAGCTCAAAATGTTTACTATTCACAAAAAGAAAAAAGAAATTACATAAAAATCTTACCATGGGCCATACGATGAAACCAATAGTATCCAAAATCTACTCCAATGAAGGTCAAATACCATGTCCATGATGATGTCCACGGTAGCTGCATCATTCTATAGTTGTTCCACACATAAATATATGTTGACATTTCAACACTTCTAGAAATAACACTAAAATTCAAAAACAGACAATGCACATTAGAGATACGTCAGACTACCATCTTCAGACTGTTTTGTTTGTTGATATCTCTATCAAAATATAATGGAAGAAGGGTCTCTGGAGCTACAAACAGAGCAATTCAGTAATCTAGCAAGCAAACAAGTTTTTAAAAAGATTAAAAGATTCTGCTCATGATCAATATGGCAGCAAAATCACCAAAAGATCAAAATGAGCTACAATACAAATGCATTAGTAATTATTGTACCAGTGTTTGAATCTGAATACGATGTCTGTTTACATAATAACTAACAAAAGTAAAAGATGACTGTAATGTTCCGACCATCTCATTTTTATCCCAGCAAAAACCCACAGTGATCAAAGTCTGATATCACTAAATTACCATTTCAGAAAAACCTCAATTTTTCTTAGTTGTTATTTCAAATCCCCAAAAGCATTGGGGATGAGAGGAAAAGAAGGGAGGGCATAAGAAGACCCTGTTTCACCCTGGCTGTCATAGCCCACCTGTGACTCACTCATAGCTTTCTAACAGGTGGTCTGATTTTCAAACCAAGATATCTGTTTAACTTCAGTTTGGCAGTTGGAGAACCAACAATTTCACACAAGTTTCAGTGGCAGGTGTACTTATCCTTTGCTGAAGCAAAACACCTGGAACATATTTAATCTTTGTAAGAGCCTTACGAAATATTACTAAAGATGTTTTTAAAAAGGCAATTCACCATATTTTTGCAATTTATAACTTGAAATATTACCACAAATCTTAACCTAAATGCTTAATCATTTAGACAACTGGCCATAAAGGAACTTTAGCTGTTCTAAAGGGACCAGGAAGGAGAGGGGAGAACTCTCTCTATACTATTTTGCGAGGAATTTTTTTTTAAAAAGACACCTTTGCCTAGAGTAGTATCACTTACCGGCTATTGGCCAAAATATAGTTATATATGCTCTTTAAGATCCAGTGAATCAAGAAGGCTTAAGAGTACCTGTTCTGCTTGGATAATGACCACAGGGTAGTGTTTTCTCATTTTGGCCTCATTAAGTATTGTAATGTTTTTGCAACATATCCAGACATAGAAAGGGATGTATTTCTTAAATTAGTCACTGAGCTCTTTTTTCGCTGGGTTCTAACTAAAGCTAGACATTAATTCTAAAGTACTGATTTTTTTCATCTGAAGTTATATAAGTCAAATTTGCATATTTTAAATCAATCACTAGCATACTAACAGAATTATTAATGGATTAGCTTTGTCAAATATGGAAACAAATTCACAATTGCTTTATTTCAGGACAACATTTACCAAAGTCAAAATATTTATGTAGCGCTACCCCCGACTCACATGCAGGAAAAGTGTTCTGGTGGCTGGTCTGCTCCTCCTCCTCCTCCTCCTCCTCCTCCTCCTTTTCTTCTTCTTCTTCTTTTCTTCTTCTTCTTCTTCCTCTTCTTCCTCTTCCTCTTCCTCTTCTTCTCCCTCAGGTTTGCCCCACAGAACCCTCCCATATCCTATCCCCTTCTTTCCCTCAGGCTTGCCCCACAGAAGCTTCTCATATCGTATTCCCTTCTCCCTCAGGCTTACCTCCTAAAAGCCTCTCCCATTCTCCCCTATTGTCTCCTCTCCCAGGCTTATCTTCTCTACCTAGGCCATAGCAGACTCCACTCCTCCTCCCCGACCTAGGCCTCAGCAGACTCAACTCCTCCCTGCCCTCTCCTGACTCCTACCCCAGGCATCTCCCCATACTGTCTCTTCAGCTCACCTACCCCCGCTACATTTATTAAGTCTAAGTGTGCTTTAAACTTCCCTTTTCCTTCTTGAGAAAACTAAGAATATATTTAATCTGAAATATGCTGGTAAGTGTACTAATTGCAAATAAAACTTTAATGAACAAGATATACTCTATTTGTAATCTGACAAATTCTCACTGAAAAACAGTGGGAATTTTTTTGTTAATTTAACATTTTTTATTAATTCCCATATGATTTTAAAATATCTCTATTTTGAACCAAAAATTCCTCAAATGCATGTGAAAGTGAAAGATTCAATTATATATAAATATGCATTAACTGTTATTAATTTTAGAGGACGACTACTGAAAATATGATCTTAAGAACTAATAACAATCAGCCAATTTTAAATTTTCAAAAAGATAAATGTCTACAGGATAATGAAATTCAAAGTAAGATAATGGATTGATATCTTAATTTATTTGTACATTTTATATATAATTTATAAAAGAATTTAATTACAATAAATTCTTTATATCTGTTAAATTTTCATATGCACATCAAGTACCAAAGGTTAAATGAAATTTGTCAAGCTAAACACACAGAAATACTGGAAACATGTGAAATATGAATGTCCTATAACAAAGACTCCATGAAAAAAGGAGAAGAGAAATAGTAGAATGTTTGTCAAACCTCACACTGGAAAAGGAAAACAACTTGTCTTTAATTTAAAGTCTCTTATATTTTTCTGAACAGGTGCCAGTTCATGACCTGACAATCTAATTTATTACTCTATCAACTGATTTATTAGACTTGAAATGACCCTGACATATAATGGTCATAGTTTCTCCCCATTCTGTTTTTACACTTCATTATAAAGCCAAACAGTCCGGAAGTTGCGGAAAGAATGAGAAAGATCTGGGAGTTTTACTCCCTGTCTTCACTCAGCACTGCAAATATGATCACTTTCCATTTTTAATATACAAACATAGCTACAAAATGATCTATTTGCTAACAGTATCTTGGAAAGCTGTTAGAATGTTTGTCTGTGTTAAGCTCTTAATTACAGAATGTAAAAGTAATACTTTAAAAACATTTCTTCATCCTGAAAAGTAGTACACTGGAAAAAACCTAAAACCTCTCTCACATAAAAGAGATAAAATCTGAACACAAACCTAAAATGTCAGCATGAACCTAAGTGAAACTCAAATATTTTCCCAAGTATTTGTTTTCCTACCAAATACTCTACATGTGTTTAAGTACAAACAAGAATTCCTAATAGCATACATAATTGACCATATTTTTTTAAAAAAAACAATTAAAATCATTATACAACGTTGTACCATAGTTAGCAAATTTTATATAATGCATGATTGTTTATTTATAGCACATTATTAATGTTCATAGCATTTTACATAATGTAACAATTAACTTTCCACTAATTAGTGAAACATCTAATATCTAATTTTATTTATTAATCATGTTATGGACTATTTCTTGACCTTTCTCTTTTGAAATATTTAGGAAAAAGAAATTTAATTGAATACTGAGATAGTGCACATACTACATTTTGGACTTACATAAAAAGCTAAAAGATACATGTAACTGTAAATACAGTATCTTCAAAGGAAGATTGGTAAATGAGAACTTACCAGGTTAAACTATAGTGGAGGAAAAACAAAAGATTAATGATTAATCAAGACAACAAATGAAACTTTATTGAAATAAACTCAGAAATAAAGCTACTTGCAGAAATATAATCTAACAATGACTATTAAAAGCAACAAGAAATAAACTTGAAACTTAGAAAACTAAAGCACTCCATAGGCATTTTTTGAAAAATATTGAAGGAAAATTGGACAGCACCTGAATATAGCAATCATTTAGAAATAGGAGGTGGAGGGTGGAGAAGTGGAGAAGAAGGAAGAGGTGGAGAAGGAGGAGGAGTTTTTTTTTGTTCCCCAAGAACAAGCCATATGCACAAATGTTAATTGGCAAAAAATAGAAAATACTAGTTTGGATAGTAAATGTTGAGATATATAGAAAAAAAGTTGACCATTTAATAACTAGATGCCACAAAATCCAGAATGGTTACCAAAAAAAAGGGATGACTGTGTTAGCAAGATATTGTATTAGCATTTATGTAGAAAACTAATTTTACTTTCATATTACTTGCAATATGAATTCATGAAAAGCCATTGAATATAATAGAGCAAAATAGAGTTCTTACAATCCAGACTGGTTGGTACTTGGAATATAACACATCAATTTTACTGTCATTGAAAAAGAAGATTGGTTCCTTACTTTTTCAATGAAGTCGTATCAAAAGACAGTTAAGTTGAAGACAAGTAATAGAAAACGTTTACAAAATACTGGTATTTAGAAACAGAGATTACAAATATTTGTAAGAAGTCTACTAATTGTTATTGGGTCATTAGGTGTAATATCACAAGGACTTAGAAAGAATTTGAACTTAGAATTTGGATTTATAAAAAGTAATGATAGACCAACTCCAGGCATTAGCACATTTGGCACCTCAAACATAATTAGCACTACAGGTAGTCCTTGTTTAGTGATGGCAACTCTGGAAATCCCCAATTCCATCATTAAGAAGGATTGCTGGTCATTAAGTGAATACCTGCCAACTTCCAACAAGCAAAGTCAAGCAGACTGATCTGTTAGTAAACGCCTGCCTCAGGCCAATGCAAATGCCAGCCATAATGGCTGCTGGGGTAGATAAGCTCCCCTATGCTCTACTACCCAACTGTTGTTTATTATCTTCTTCCTCCTGTTGCTAGGCAAGCCTAGCTTAACCTTTTGTGAAGCCACAATTGTCTGAGTATAGCACCATGGCCAAAGCTGCAGCCTGGTCCAGCACCAAAGTGTAAAAATTGAAGGTGCCCTAGCTCCAGCCACCTTTGCCATCCTGAATTCTATGACAGCAACTTTGCAAGGACTCATGAAGCCAGCATGTACACCTCAACAGCAAGAGGAAGGAGTTGTCAAAAGTCAGCTGCAGTTCTAATGACAAAGAGCACAATCCAGTACAGAATTAATGGCTGATGAGTCCAGGGCCAAAGGGCAAAGAAAAGAGGAAGATAAATAGGTGGTAATGGTTGAAGTACATTCTGTAGTCATGTACATGGGTTGCCAAGTGCGTGATATTTCATAAGTGACCACAGGAGCACTCCAACAGATATTACTTCAAAGAGCAAGCATTAATACCATTTGATCAGCACTTTGATTTGTAACTTCAAACAGTTAACAAATGAT